TTCCAGAGACTGCCTGGGGGGAGAACAGGGGGTTTGGGGGGGATCTGAGGGGGTTTTTGGGTTGTTCACATCCCCTTCCAGCCTCTCCTGCTCCTCCAGGGACTGCCTGGGGGGAGAACAGGGGGTTTGAGGGGGATCTGAGGGGGTTTTTGGGTTGTTCACATCCCCTCCTGCCTCTCCTGCTCCTCCAGGGACTGCCTGGGGGGAGAACAGGGGGGCTTGGGGGGATTTGGGGGGTCCAGTCCCACCCCTCAGAGCCTCTTCGGCTCCTCCAGCGACTCTCTGGGGTGAAAACAGGGAGATTTGGGAGGATTTGGGGGGATTTGGGGGGTCCAGTCCCACCCCTTGGGACTGCCTGGGGTGAAAACAGGGAGATTTGGGGGGATTTGGGGAGATTTGGGGAGATTTGGGAGGATTTGGGGGGGATTTGGGGGGTCCAATCCCACCCCTCAGAGCCTCTTCTGCTCCTCCAGCGACTCTCTGGGGTCAGCAGGAGGTTTGGGGGGGGGTCTTGTCCCACCCCCTTGAACTCCGTGGCCGTGGGACCCCCGGGGATGGCCCTGTCAGGGGGTCCTGGTGTCCCCAGCACCCCCCCCCAGACCCCCTGAAGCCCCCAGAGCCCCCTGAAGCCCCCAGACCCACTTGCTGGTGGCGATGTACTCCTCCAGCTTCTCGATCCGCTTCTGGTTCTCCTCGATCTCCCGCAGCTTCTGCTTGATCTTGGCCTGGGGGGGGGAGGAGGGAGCGGCTCGGGGGGGTTTTTGGGGGCTCTGAGGGGGGGTCTGGGCACCCCCGAGGGGGTGGAGGGGGTGGGTTTAGAGCCCCTCCCCCCACACCCTCACCTCGGTCTCCACTTTCTTCCTCTCCTCCAGGTCCAGCCGATCCTGATCCGCCTTCTGGTCGCGGTTGAACTTCTCGAGCTCCTGGGCCAGCGTGGCGGCGCGTTTGCTCGCCTCCTCCTTCAGGCGGTGGTACTTCTTCACCTGCAGGAGCACACGGGGGGGTGGGGCCCAAATCCCAGGGGGAGCAGCACAAATCCCAAAGGGATGGGCCCAAATCCCAAAGGGATGGGGCCCAAATCCCAATGGAGCAGCCCAAATCCCAAAGGGATGGGCCCAAATCCCAAAGGGATGGGCCCAAATCCCAAAGGGATGGACCCAAATCCCAATGGAGCAGCCCAAATCCCAAAGGGATGGACCCAAATCGCAGGGGGAGCAGTCCAAATCCCAATGGAGCAGCCCAAATCCCAAAGGGATCAACACAAATCCCAGAGGGATCAGCCCAAATCCCAATGGAGCAGCCCAAATCCCAATGGGGCAGCCCAAATCCCAAAGGGATGGGGCCCAAATCCCAAAGGGATGGGTCTAAATCCCAACAAGAGCAGCCCAAATCCCAATGGGATCAGGCCAAATCCCAATGGAGCAGCCCAAATCCCAAAGGGATGAGCCTAAATCCCAATGGGATGGACGTAAATACTAAAGGGATGGACCCAAATCCCAAAGGGGCAGCCCAAATCCCAAAGGGATGGGCCCAAATCCCAAAGGGATGGGCTCAAATCCCAAAGGGATGGGCCCAAATCCCAAAGGGATGGGCCCAAATCCCAAAGGGATGGACCCAAATCCCAATGGGATGGATGTAAATACTAAAGGGATGAGCCCAAATCCCAATGGAGCAGCCCAAATCCCAAAGGGATGGACCCAAATCCCAATGGAGCAGCCCAAATCCCAAAGGGATGGACCCAAATCCCAATGGAGCAGCCCAAATCCCAATGGGGCAGCCCAAATCCCAAAGGGATGGGCGTAAATCCCAATGGGATGGACGTAAATACTAAAGGGATGGGCCCAAATCCCAAAGGGATGAACCCAAATCCCAAAGGGATGGGCCCAAATTCCAAAGGGATGGACCCAAATCCCAAAGGGATGGACCCAAATTCCAAAGGGATGAGCCCAAATCCCAAAGGGGCAGCCCAAATTCCAAAGGGATGGACCCAAATTCCAAAGGGATGGACCCAAATCCCAAAGGGATGGACCCAAATTCCAAAGGGATGAGCCCAAATCCCAAAGGGGCAGCCCAAATTCCAAAGGGATGGACCCAAATTCCAAAGGGATGGGCCCAAATCCCAATGGAGCAGCCCAAATCCCAAAGGGATGGACCCAAATCCCAAAGGGATGGGCCCAAATCCCAAAGGGATGGGCCCAAATCCCAATGGAGCAGCCTAAATCCCAATGGGGCAGCCCAAATCCCAAAGGGATGGACCCAAATCCCAAAGGGATCAACACAAATCCCAGAGGGCTCAGCCCAAATCCCAAAGGGATGGGCCCAAATCCCAAAAGGATGAGCCCAAATCCCAAAGGGATGAGCCCAGATCCCAATGGAGCAGCCCAAATCCCAATGGAGCAGCCCAAATCCCAAAGGGATGGGTCCAAATCGCAGGGGGAGCAGCCCAAATCCCAATGGGATGGGCCCAAATCCCAAAGGGATGGACCCAAATCCCAAAGGGATGGGCCCAAATCCCAAAGGGATGGACCCAAATCCCAAAGGGATGGGCCCAAATCCCAACGGGATCAGCCCAAATCCCACCAGGATCAGCCCAAATCCCACCAGGATCAGCCCAAATCCCACCAGGATCAGCCCAAATCCCACCGGGATCAGCCCAAATCCCACCGGGATCAGCCCAAATCC